CACACACACACATCCACATCCACGGAATGTGAGTCATCTCCCATCCAATCCTAGCCAAGGCTTCTGGGGATTAGCCAAGAATTTCCACCTGCCGCTTCGATGGTCCAGAAGGTTTGCACTTGAACGGCTGGCCTTCTGCACATGCTCAGAAGCCCTCTCTTCTCCCCGGGAGACGTGGTTAGGAAAGGGCCTCCCTGGAATTGACCACCCTTCTCCTCTCGCGCGCGCGTGGCTCACCCTTCTCTCTTTTCCCTGCAGATACCGAACCCCTTCGGAGCTACACAACGACAACTTCTCCCTCTCCACCATTGCGGAGGGATCGCACCCAAATGTAAGGAAATTTTGTGACACCCCGTGTAACCACTCCCCTCACGCTCGTGCATTGGCTTACTATGATAACATTATATGTCAGGTAACGTGTCTTCTTCACCTCTCCCCGTCCTTCAGCATGTTTCCCGCCACCTTGACCCCCCCCGCCCCCGCCCCCGCCCCCGCCTTCCCATCTCGTCTCTGCTGTCTCAGGCATGCTTGGCTTGGCTTGGCTGCTGCTGCTGCTGCTCCTGGTCCACCCCCTGGGAGGCCGCGCCCTCAGTGGATCCATCTGGGTTGCCAACGCTGACCGAGTTGGGTCCAAAAAAAAATCGAGATGACTGCAGTAAGGTGAAAAGTCCCTCTAGGCGTTTATGTAGGCTTCCCTGGATTTCACTCGCGTTTCGCTCGAACCTCGACGACCCCCGATAGGCAAAGATAAGAGTGATATAGGATGATGAGATGGGAGAATAAACCCTTCACCATCCTAGCACTGATGAGGTTCCCTAGCTGGGTCACGAAATGTCTGTAAGAAAACTACCCGGCTCAGCGAGCGTCAAGGATCCGACACTCTTCCTCCCTTCTAACCCTGATGCTGTTACCTAGAAGGGTCATGAAACATCGGCAAGAAAACCACCCAGCTCAGAGAGCTCCAAGGCCCCTTCGTTTCAACCCCAAGCTACAAATATTGCCTTCTATCCATATGGACACCCACCCATGCCCGGTGAAGGACCAGCAGGGAGGGCATTTGGAACTTGGGGAGCGCCCGGTTCCAGCAGAAAGTAACCAAAAAATAATCCAGAGCTTCAACTGCAGTATCTCAGCAATCCGTTTTTGGACCAAACTCTGTGACACCCCTGGAAAGCTGCCCTGTTGTTTCAGGGGTCCAAAGTCTGCCTCCTTAAGGGTGATTCCCTTCCTGCCCCCCAACAGTTTATGGGTCCCCGCATGACATTGGACCATGAGCAACACAGCACCCCTCTTTCCCCCGTGTGTGTTATCCTGTTGGGGCTTCTGATCCTCACCTGATCTCCATGAATGATCAATTTCTCTTCAAAGCTGTTGAAGGTGATGGCATCATGACCTTAACACCAGTTGCGCCCTATATTCAGCAAGTAGCACCCTCTAATTTCAAGGGGTTCAGGGGAAGAAACTGGGGCTGCCCAAACAGCATCCCGCTGAATTTTGACCGAGCTCACAGGAAGCCTGCTTAGGATTCTTGCTTTTGGGGCAATCCTCAACTGCCTTGGCAATTGCATCGGACTCTGGAGCTATCTCAGGGATCCTGCATTAGATTGAGGGATATAATCAAGGTCCACATTTCCCCCCTAGGCATCCCATCAAATTTCTACTGAGCTCACATGAAACCTACTTAGGATTCTTGCTTTGAGGGCAATCCTTGGCAATTGCATTGGACGAGTTCCTCTCACAGCTCCGGAGCTATCTCAGGGATCCTGCAATAGATTGAGGGATATGACAAAGATGTGGGGAAGAAGATAGGTCCATATTACCCCTGTAGGATTCCCGCCAGATTTCTGCCGAACTCATGTGAAACCTATTTAGGAGTCTCCCTTTGAGGGCAATCCTTGACTGCCTTGGCAATTGCATTGGATGAGTTTCTCTCACAGTTCTGAGGGGTATGATCAGGACGTGGGGACAAGATAGGTCCACATTTTTTTCCTAGTGGCTGTTTGGTCTCTTCTCCTTAGAACTGTTTCAAAGGTGAAAATGAAAATGAACGCCAAGGAAGGAAGATGGTGAGGTTTGAAGCTCCTTTGGGTCTCCTGTACTCCTAGCGAAGGGGTCACCCAATGGACGGGATGCCCCCTCCTCAACAGGAAGAGCCTCTGATCTGGGATCTCTCCACAGCATCCTCTGCGTTTGGCCCTTCATTGCCTCCCTCTCTCTCCCTGTCTCTCTCCTCTCGCCTCTCTCTCTCTCTCTGTCTCCCCCCCCCCTCTCGTCTCTCTGTCTCAGTCTCTGTCTGTCTGTCTCTGTCTCTCCTCTCTCTCTTTCCTCTCTCTCTATCTCCTCTCTTGTCTCTCTGTCTCTGTCTCTGTCTGTCTGTCTCTCTCTCTCTCTCTCTCCCTCCCCTCTCTCTTTCCTCTCTCTCTCTCTCCTCTCTCTCTCTCTCCTCTCTCTCTCTCCTCTCTCTCTCTTTCCTCTCTCTCTCTCTCTCTCTCGTCTCTCTGTCTCTCTCTCTCTCTTGTCTCTCGTCTCTCTGTCTCTCTCTCTCTCTCCTGCCTTGATGGACTCCTCATAGATATTCAGGACCACTGAACAACCTCAGTTTTTGAAGTGGGGTTCTCACTCACACACCCTCAGGAGCCACCTTCTAATGTCGACTTCGCCCACACCCCCAGAATGACCAGCAAAGGCCATGCTGGCTGGAGGATTCTGGGAGCTGAAAGCTGAAACATCTGCAGGACCCATGATTTGAAAGGAAACTTCATGAGGACATATTGAGGGCCTCTCCGCAGAGGGATCCTACTTCAGTCACCACCAGTTCGGTGGCCGATCTCGCCTGTAGCTGATTTTTTTTTTCACTACCGGTTCGGCCAAACCGGGGTGAACCAGTAGCATAACCACTACTGGGGCCTCTTAACCGTCTTTGGTAGTCAATGCTTGGATGAAGGTTACTAATTTCCTGTTTGCTGCCCCTAAATCTTAGGCGAGGGGGATTGGGGGAGTCCACCCCTCTTTTCCCCCCTGGCCCTGCAGTGGGCCTGAGCCCCCTCCCACAGGCTCCCTGTGTCTTCTTCCCCTGCCTGCTTGTCTCCATCCTCCATCCGTGGTGTTGTGGTGGGTGGCTGTGTATCCTTGGCCAGAAGCTACACTGGATGAACTGGGAATTCGGAGTGAGGGAGGCAGGAGAATGCTGGGGGGGGGGGGGGGGTGCTGGCTGCCTCCCTTCTCCAAGGTTGCTGGTGCGCTGAGGACGGGGAGAGAGGAGAGGGAAGGGAGGAGGAGAGAGAGAGAAAAAGAGGACGGAAGGGGAGGGGAAAGAGAGGAGAGGGAAGAGGAGAAGAACAGAAGGGAGGGGAGGAGAAGAGGGGAAAAAGAGAGGAGGGGAGGGAAAGGGAGGAGTGGAGAGGGAAGGGAGAAAAGAGGAGAGAAAATGGAAGGGGAAGGGAGGATAAGAGACCAGAGGGAGGGAGGGGAGGAGAAGAAAGGAGAGGGAAGGAGAAAAGAGGGAAGGGGAGAGGAGAGGAAAGAGAGGAAAGAAGACAGGGAGGGAGGAGGAAAGAAGGGAGGGAGGAATGAGGGAGAGTGGAGATGGGGGAGAAAAGAGGAGGAGGAGGAGGAGTGAAGGAGAGAGAAGGGGAAAGGGAGAGAGGAGAGGGGGAAGAAAGGAAAGGAGGGAGAGGGGGAGATGAAACAGGGAGGAAAGTCAGAATGAAGGAGAGAGGAGGAAGAAAGGAGAGCAGGGAGACGAGGAGAGGAGATAGAGGGAAGGAGGGAGAGGAATTGATAAAGGAGAGAGGAAAATAGGAAGGAATGAAGGGAGAGGAGAGGAGAGAGGAGGAGAGGAGACAAGGAGGAACGTAGGAAGGAATGAAGGAGAGGGGAGAGGGGGAAGGAAAGAGAGGAGGGAGACGGGGAGAGGAGAGACAGGGGAAGACAGAGAGAGGGAAGGGCAGAGAATGAACCCCAAAGCACGGGCATGTTCACGACTGCATCACTGCTTGCAGTTCCATCCTCGGGGACTGACGCTAAGGCTGTGCACAGCTTGGGTTACAAAAAAAAAAAGAAAAGAAAAGAAATGAAAACGAGAAATGGCACTCCTGAGGCCAGCGATTGGCTGTTCTTTAAAGCAGCTGTGTCCTTTCCTGGGAAAAAAAAGGACAGCGCTGCTTTCAAGAGTTGCAAATGAAATTTCACGTTTCTCATCCGAGAACTATTTCCTACACCCTGGCTAGGATATATACAGGTAGTCCTTGTTTTACAACCGCAATCCAGCCCCACATTTCCTGTCGCTATGCCAGATGGCAGCACCCCGTGTTATGGCCTCCCTTGCTATCGCGGAGAAGCCAAGCCCCCACCATTGTTAAGCGAGTCACATGGTCATTAAGTGAATCGGGCTTCTCCCTCCCTTGATGTTTGGAAGGTCACGAAAGGGAGAAATCACATGACCCTGGGACAGCACGACCGTCATAAATACGAGCCGGTTGGCAAGCATTGGATCACACGTCGTGGGGATGCTGCGATGGTTGTAAGTGTGAAAAAAAGTGGCCAGAAGTCATTTTTTTCTTTGCCGGTGTAAACTTCGAGCAGTCACTAAATGAGGACTACCTGTACTAGAGGCATGAAAGTACTCGGGAAAATACTCCACCCTGCTTTGGGGAGGAAATGAACTAGAAGCAGCGTTTCCCCCCCCCCCCCAGCAACTCAAAGACAGGCGGACTACAATTCCCAGAATTCCCCAGCCAATATCGGGAATGCTGGGAGTTGGAGTCCAGGTACGCGGGCAAGGGTGGGACAGGCATTCATTCGAGCCGAGTTTCTCAACTTTCGCGACTCGAAAAAAAACACAAAACAGGTGGACTTCCAACTCCCAGAATCCCACCGCTGGCCTGAGGAATGCTGGGAGTTGAAGTCCGCGCATCTTAAAGCTGCTGGGTTTGAGGCCCGGTTTGAAGAAAACAGGCAAGGCCCCTTTGACCCTCTCTCCCTGATTCGTTCCAACGACGACGGGAAACTAACCGATTTTTCTCTCTCTCTCTCCCACTTTCTGACCTGTTCCTGTTTCGAACCCCGCCCCAACATCCATTCAGGATGATCCCAGTGCCCCGCACAAGCTGCAGGACCCCTTGAAATCCTGCCTCAAAGACGACGAAGTGTTTAACATTCAGAATTCCACCTCGCCCAAACTGGATAACCGGAAAGGCAATCCAGACGACCCCGATGCAAACTGTTTGCAGAACAATCTGACTTGAAGATCCAACCGGAAGACCCAACCATGCAAACGGAGGGTGGGGCGGGGGGGGGGGGGGGTGGTAATTGTGGGGAGGGAAAATGGGTTTTCGATTTGATTATCATTATTTTGTTTCTTTCCCTTCCCCCCCACCCCCCATCTGCCAACGCCATCGCATGCTTTGATGTATTTCGTGCGGAAAAAAGAAAAGGAAAGTTTTACTAAAGAAAAAAAAAATGGCTCGAAGATAAATTCTGGCAGCTTTCCCTAAATGAACGGTGTGTGCATTGATTTCTTGATCAGTCCCTTGTCTGTATATATGACCCCAAGATAGTTGGCTTCCTGCCCCCCCCCCCCCCCCCCGCCCCCCCCCCCCACGCCCCCTACCGGCTTTCACCCCGGCCCCCTTCCACCCCTGTGATTTCTAACCCTTCACTGTGGCTTGACTGATTTTCTTTCATCCTTCTGTTTTTGCATTTTAATTCCCCCCCGCCGCCTTCTTTTCTTTTCGTTTTTTCCTTTCTTTCTTCCTCCTTTTTTTTTCTTTTTGAGAAATCGGTTTTAAGAAATACGTGGGTAACAAAAAATAAATAAATAAAAGTGAAGATCACGAGATAAGAATGGCGACGATGATCACGATAATCATAATAATAAACTTTTTTTTAAAAGTGACAGTGTGGTTTGGATCTCTGGCGGTGTGGAAATCAGGGGGCGGGGGAGGGGAGAAGGCAAGGCGGGACATGAAGGGGATGAAAACGAATGAAAAAATGAGGGTTGGGTTAAATGAGTGCTGATTGGCTGGCTGGACTGCAGTGTCCAAAATTCGAGCCAGCATGGAATTGTGGGAGTGGAAGTCCTCCCCTCTTAAAATATGCTGAGTGGGGGATTCTGGGAGTGGAAGTCCCCCCTCTTAAAATATGCTGAGTGGGGGATTCTGGGACTTGAAGTCCTCCCATCTTATAGCATCCTGGCTGGAATATTCATATTTCTGTGGGGGAGACAACTTCAAATCTGGATTTTAGCCCGGTAGGCTCTGTCCGAACTTTTGAACATTTGCTATGGAATTGGTCATAAGTTGAGGACTATCTCTATTGCCTTGACCAGTGGTAAGAGTGCCTCAGAAGGATAACAACATATATGCCACCAGATCCCCCTCCTGGCTAGTTATGGAATAGCATGGAGAGAAGGGCTGATTGGGCGACCATGGTTTTGGTCGAAAGTGTCTACGCGGCATTCGGCTGGTTATGGATCTCCGCTCCTGCAAACTCCATCTTAACGAACGTGGGAGTTGATGTCCCGAAGCACAGAAGGGTCCCAGGTCTGGACAAGCTGCTGAATTGGAACCTTTGTCCAATTCAAATTAGCCGCCCCCCACAGCTTAGGGGATCAATTCAAATAATTTGCCGTGTTTAAAAAAAAATAGCCATTTTCTGTGGTTCTGGAGTTTTCAGCATTCTTTAGACGTCTTTGTCAACACTAAAATGTGTATACTTCGCACACACACACAACCCCAAAATGGTATGCAAAGAAATTTCATTTTAATGGGTGCCGACCAGTGTACATTCAAGGTGACAATGTAATTCTTCTCTTCTCTTCTCTTCTCCTATTCTTATTCCACATTTTAATCTATTCTATTCCATTCCATTCCGTATTTTCTATTCTATTCTATTCTATTCTATTCTATTCTATTCTATTCCATTCCACTCCAGTCCAGTCCAGTCCATTCCATTTTCATTCTATTCTTTATTCTATTTTATTTCTATTCTATTCTACTCCTAATTCCTATTCTATTCAATTCTATTCTATTCTATTCCATTCCATTCCAGTCCAGTCCAGTCCAGTCCAGTCCATTCCTTTTCATTCTATTCTTTATTCTATTCTATTTCTATTCTATTCTACTCCTAATTCCTATTCTATTCTATTCTATTCTATTCTATTCTATTCTATTCTATTCTATTCTATTCTATTCTATTCCATTCCAGTCCAGTCCATTCCAGTCCAGTCCAGTCCATTCCATTCCATTCCATTCCATTCCAGTCCAGTCCAGTCCAGTCCAGTCCAGTCGTCCATTCCTTTTCATTCTATTCTTTATTCTATTCTATGTCTATTCTATTCTACTCCTAATTCCTATTCTATTCAATTCCATTCTCTTCTGCATTCTCTTCTCTTCTGTTTTGTTCTGTTCCGCATTCTATTGTACATAAATACACAAAAATACAAATTTGGATCACGGGGATGGAGCAAAGGCTCATCCCTGAAAAAAACCGCTCCTCCGCATTCTCACGAACGCATTTGGTTTTTCACCCAGGCATCTTCAGCGCCAGAGTCGCTTTCAACAGCGACTCAATGAACTGTCCAAGGCGAGGACGCCCTGTTCACCATTTTGCTTCCCTTCTTAACTGCCAGAGCGTTCTTGACAAGGAGAAACCAGCTGTCTGATCTCGCGATAGGTCAGACTACAGTCCCCTCCATTCCTAGGCCGGTTGGGGACGATGGGAGGTGTAGTACTCTTTATATATGTAGGAATATTTCTGATTTCTGAGTGGCAGATCTGCCTGAAAGTGGGTCTCTGGGGAAAACAAGGTTGAACAAGTGTTTTGGGAACACAACCTGAGAAGAAAACACAGCAGAAAAGCCGATGGAAATTAAAAAAAATTGCAAAACCAGCAGGATTTAATGTTGCAATTGTTGTTTTTGTTATTATTATATACTTTATTCATTAAACAGGAAACTCGGTCAGCTGAACATTTAAAAATGTATCACAAATATTATTCTACTCTATTCTTGTCTATTTCCATTCTATTTCTTATTCTATTCTGCATTCTGTTCTATTTCTGTTTCTTATACTGTTGTATTCTCTTTATTCTATTCCATTTGTATTGTATTTCAATTCTTATATTCTATTTCTATTCTTTCTTATTTTATTCTATACTATTCTATTCTGCGTTCTACTTCTTATTCTGTTCTATTCTTGTTTCTATTCTTTCTTATTCTATTCTCTATTCTGTGCTATTTCTTATTCTATTTGTTATATTCTATTTCTATCCTATTTTTAATGTATTCTATTTTTATTCTATTTCTATTCTATTCTTTCTATCCTATTTCTATTCTTATTCTATTCTCTATATTCTACATTATTCTGCATTCTATTCTCTATATTCTATTCTTTCTATTCTTCTATTCTATTTCTATTCTGTTTTGTTTCTATATTATTATTATTATTATTATTATTATTATCTTATCTAATCCTTATTCTAATTATTCTAATTCTAAATTAATTATTCCAAGCCCGGGAAATTTCTACTCCTGGCTAGCAGTACCGCTATTTGGCCGGCAGAGGGCGGACCTAACGGTATCAGAGCAGAGAGACGGGGCGAAAGAGCGCTCCTCTAGAGAGCGCATGCGTAAGGCGACGACAGTAGGCCGCGGCCTAACTGTCGTCGTTCGCTCGCTTGGGATTCCATTCTCGCGGGTGCGGAGGGAGCCGGTCACGGCCGCCCCAACGGGATGTTCGTGGCGCTAAACGAACTGCTCGGGCTTTCCGTGGAGCAGCCGGAGCGGGTGAGAGAGAGCGCGAACGCGTCCCCGGCTGCATCTTTTTTTTTGTCTCTCTCGGATCCCGTCGCCGTGCGCGTGCGCGTGCGCGTGAACCAGGAGCGGGCCGGGCTGTACCGGGCCCGCGACGGCTGAGACTCCGCTGTTCCCAAGATGCTTCTGGCGACTTGGCTTTTGGACGCGGGGCTCGCCGGGAGTTGTAGTTCTTTCTCTCCTGATTGCCCCCATTTTGGAGTGGGGTTAAGTTATACACTGGCGCTCCCTGCTTGGGCTGGCCGGGGATGATGGGCATTGTAGTGCAAGTCTGGTTCTTAATAAACTCGGCAGACTTCAGCTGTCAGAATCTAATTGAAATTTAATTTTAATTTATATGCTTTATTTAACATGTCAGAAATGGTGTCTCCCACTTGGGCTGGGGGGTTGGACTAGATGACCTACAAGCTCCCTTCCCACTGATTATCTGTTACTGCTTTTCTATTCTATTCTGTTCTATTTTAACACACACACACACACACACACACACACACACACACACACAGAGATTATTTCATTTGATTGATAGTCTCTTCTGTTTTAATTTACATATACATTTACGTTTTATTATATCTATTTTGGTTTTATGTGATTTGATTTGATTTATAGTCGATTCGCTACGACCTTATAGGTTTACATTTGATCATAAGTGCTATTTCGGGTGGATGTGATTTGACCTTTTGTGGCACATTGTTATATTTTATGATAGACTTCATGTATATTTTATTTTTTTATAATTGTTATTTTATTTTATTCTATTGTTATTTTTATTTTATTCTATTTGTTTTTGTGTAATTTCTCTTTATATTTTGTTAATTTATTTTATATCTACCGTATATCTACTGTATAGTCTATATATAGCTACAGCTATCTATCATCCATCAATCTTTCTATCCATCTATCCATCCATCCATCATCTATTTATCCATCCATCCATCTCTATCTATCCGTCTACATCCATCCATCCATCATCCATGTATGTATCTATCTATGAATATATCTCTATCCTCTATCTTTCTATCTACATCTCACGTCTATCTGCGTGTCTGTCTGCCTGCCTCTATCCATACAAGAGGGCAAAACTCACTTAATCGTGTTTCCCTTTCGGGCTTGTAACTCGAGGACTAATCTGATGTATACGGGATCTACATTTTTAATATTGTCATCTTTTCCCTTTTTGATACCATCCCAGAAACAAACTCTTTCTTGTTTTCGTTTTTTTTCAGAGCAAATTGATTTTGCTTTGTGCCACGCAGACAGATGCCAGCTTCCTGCTCCACCATTTTCTTTCCTTCTACCTGAAAGGTACGCGGGGAAGGAAGGACTCCGTAACCTATCTCCCGCCTCAGTAGGCAGCCGTCTGGTTTTTCCATCATTAAAAAAACAAATTTCGTGACTTACAACCCATTCACTTCGTGATCGTTCGAACGGTCTGAAAAATGAGACAACCGTTGTTCACACTTAACAACCGTTGCAGAATTCCAGCGAACACGTGATCAACATTCCAATGCTCGGCCGCCGATGCGTATTTACAACGGTCGCAATGTCCCAGGGCTTATGTGATCCCCTTTTTCCGACCTTCTGACCAGCAGGAAGCCAGATTCACTAACCAGGGAAGTGGTTAGAGCTACTCAATTGACATCAAGCCCCTCCCACTTTCTCAGGCTATGTAGCAGCATGGCTTCCAAAGCTGACAATTCACTTAACAACGGCGGTTGTAAAGCTCGTAAAATGGGATGAAACTCACTTCGTATGTTTCGTTTAGCAACAGAAATCTTCTGTGCAGGTCGTAACTTGAGGACGATCCGTATAACATCTTTCTCTCTTTTTGTCTTTCACAGCGGGTTGCAAAGTCTGTTTTCTGGCCTTCGTGCAATCCTTCAGCCATTACAACTCTGTGGCTCAAAAACTGGTAAACCTGATTTTATTTTGTCTATGAAAACATATTTATCTCTTACAACTTTGTGGACTTCAAGTCCCAGAATTCCTGGCTGGGGGAATTCTGGGAATTGATGTCCGCCCAGGTTAATTGGCTGAGGAATCAAGACCAGAGTTTCCCAAGTATTCTGGGTTGGTGGTCCAGAGGGGCGACAAACGGGTAAGTTTCTGTGGTTGGGGCAGGCATATGTGCATGTGCACGTGGTTGAGCACCCGTTGCTTGCATGAGTCCTGTGAGGCTCGTGTGAGTTGGGCTGTGATAGCCTGTAATGTTCGCGTGTGGGGCTGCAATCACTTGTGAGGCTCACGCGAGTGTGGCTGCAATCCACCGTGAAGCCCACCTGAGTGGTATCACCCGCGCGAGTCCCGTGATCACCTGTGAGGCAAGTGTAGCTGGAATTACCCGCACAGCTCGTGTGAGTGGGGTTGCGATAACCCAGGAGCCTTGCACGATACGAGGTTTGCGCGAGTGGGGCTGCGATCACCTACGATGTTCACATGAGTGGGGCTGCAATTACCCCCGAGGCTCACACGAGGGGGCTTCAGTCCACCACGAGGCCCGCCTAAGTCGTATCACCCATTCGAGTCCTGCAATCACTCGTGAGGTGAGTGCGGCTGAATATGGCTCGTGTGAGTGGGGCTGTGATAACCCGTGAGACTCATGCAAGTGGGGATGCGATCACCTCCTCCGAATGGGATTACCTGCGAGGCTCGCGTGAGTTGACCTGCGCCATTCGTGTGAGTGGGCTGCAATCCACTGCAAGGCTCGTCTGAGTGGTATCACCCGCGCGAGTTGTCCTGCGAGACGGTTGTGGCTGGAACACCCACGTGGCTCATGTGAGTGCAGCTGCGATAACACATGAGGCTCACGCGAGTCAGCTGGCGATCATCCGCAAGGCTCGCGTGTGTGGGGTGGTGATCGCCCATGATGCTCGCGTGAGTGGGGCTGCATGCATGCGCACAGCAGCCACCAACCCGTATGGCCTGGTTGTGAATGGACTGTCAACTCGTAAAGCATTCCTGACTTGCTCTCGAGTTGCCATAAAAAGGGAGGGGGGAGGGAGATCGGATGGAGCGGTTTGGTTGCTATGACCAGAAGCCCATTCCATGCATATCTTTCCCTAGATTGTGTCCCAGGTTACCAGAGCCAGCCAGAGGGTCATGTTTTCTACAGCCCGGGGAAAGTGCTTCGGTTGGAGAATGTGATTTATGACGCACCCTGGGAGGAAAGGGCAGTAAATTGCATAGGGCAGAGCCAACTGCATTTGGGAAAAGGGTGACATGTTGCTCCATTAAGTAATTGGACTTATTTTGAAACTTGGCTCGAGGCTCATGAATTAATTAGGGCGTCCGTCGGAACCCTGACATAGGCTGCACCTCAGTAGAGGGCTGTGGCCCACAGATTGTGGACCCCTGATCTAGACCACGACAGTGTATGCTTGGGGACGGGTGAAATACATTTAGTTCTCATGTTACAACGGTTCCCTTTACAATTGTTCGAAGTTATAAGAGAGCTGGAAAAACAACTCAGACTGGTCCTCGGACCTACAACCATGACAGAATCGCGTGCAGCGAGCGAGCTCTTCTGAGAAAAATCCCCTAGCCTTGTTCCTTGCTCAGAAAATTCCTATTTCTCCTTTTTCCTGTTGTTGTTTTTAGGGAGTCAGTCTCCTTACAGCCAAGGAACAAAATCAGCTGGTGTTCTTTGAAGGGCTGAAAGTGGCAAACCAGGTCTTCTTCAGCGACGCGCAGAAATCCGAGGACCCCAATCCTTTCCAATTCATTAGGTAGCGGAATGTTTCTTCTCTGGAGGCACAGCG